GCTATTGGTTAGAAGAGAGATAGGATGAAGAAATCACATCTGTAGGAGAAATCGTGTGGGAGCGTCAGTCAAAATTCTCAGACAACAGACTGTTTGGAATATTCTATTTCGTTCCTACAGACAATAAGTGAGCTAAGGATGATAACGTTTATTTTACAAGAATGATGGCATATTATATCCACCTCTATGGGACAAAGGTGGTCGTCATTTTTGAGTAAATGCTCTCAGAAGCACTTACCATGTTAGTTATGTATCTTCACCAATGTTCTCACACTTTGTCTTTTTATGTTAAAAGTATATATGTATATATACCATTATCACAATCTACTTGTGGGCAGAGTTGATATTGGTCATCAATACAATTTATTTGCGGTCAGCGATACAGTGGACGGACAGTGCATCGTCCATCAACCAAAATTGGCAATCATGTCCCATAAAATGGTTTGAACTTTGCGAGGTTGAACTACCACCCAGTGCAACTGTACAACATTTCCTATAGACTCCGGTCACCGAATCAACGTGACAAAAGAATTTCAGGTCATTTTCCGGCCTCGATTTCTATAGAAGTGATAATTATTCACTGCGTGAAACGGAAACCTTTGATACACAAATGTTTTGATCGTGTTAGTGTTTATGTCACACCGGATGCCGCCCCACAACGTTGTGTGCCACGCCGTTCCCATCCTACCTGTCCACCACCACTCGCACTGACATCATCCTGTTTAAGCAAATAACTTATCATATAATTTTATCATTCCGCTTAACCTTATCCTGTAACCAAACTCAATTATGCAACTCTCATGTACAGCAGACTGTTCCTATGATTTATTTAAACTTTCCGGCTTCTTCGTTCAACATGATTATATATATATATATGTTTATAATAATCACATATTTTTATGCGTTAATGAAATAAATATATACAATAGATATTCTATGGAGATGGGACTTTCGTGCATGAAAGTCCACTTGATAAACAGTGCATATCCACGATTTTTAGAATTGGAACCGCCTTCACGGACGACCGAAGTTAGTTAAAAAACAAACATTGTTATTGTACACCGGAAAAGCTTACGATTTGAGTGGTCTTAGCCAGAAAGAACGAAGTAATCAATTAACTGAACTGGGGTGTATGAAATTATGAGTCATTGATTTAACTAAATAGTGTACCGACCTTGATAACATGCCACTACGTTCATGTCTCAGTGAACTTTTTGGTTCATGGTGTTTGTATTTTCCCCTCTTACAGATTGTCAGTGAACCAAAACCACGCAGAACCTCCTGTCGATCGACAGTTCTAGCCTACACCGAGACTCGGCCCACATTCGGCTGTCCGGTGTATACGTTTGCCGAGGACGCCCTGCCGCACACACGAGCGTAAAGCATACTACAGAGGCAAATACAGATCGATAGAGCACTGGATTGATCAACGCTTATGTGTTCGACGAAAAGACCAGTCAAGTGAGGCTCGACGAGAGTGCTATCAGTCGCACGACCTCATGCGGCCTGGTTTGAAATCTCACTCACCATACGTTCCTTCTTTTAAAAGGTAAGGTTATGTGAGCTATGGTACACTCATAAATCACAATTTTCACCAAGCACGAGCTCGTTCATAGTGTCACCGATCGCTACACTATAGTGTAATTGCCAAACCAATTTATCTGGAGGCCAGAATGCCACGTTCGGATTAGCCAATTCGATTTCAAAGGAATTGGACACTACCAACAGTTTTCTTGATTTGGGTTAGGCGCAGAGTTTTAGGTAAATGCGGTCGCCCACTGGAGCAAATGGTCGACCTCCACAGATTACAGTTGGTTGGGGCATGTGTTACGCATTTCATCAGGTAGGTTACCACAGCGAGCGAGGTTCGCCGAGGCAGGTAGTGGGTGGAATAAAGCCAAGGGTGGTCAAGCTAAGACCTAGTATGAGGGTATGAAAACGCTAACCAGCAGTCTGGGTCACATAAGTCCCGTTAGGCTCCCTGGATAGGGACCCCGGGATGATGGTCACCGATGGCTAGAGGCATTGAGTGATATGGCTGAGTTTCATGAACAGTGGCATTCGTGTATCTTGTCAGTTTCTCTGCAACTTTAGTCCACTGGAACTCTAAATTTTCTCGTTGATCCTACTTTCGACCTTTCCTGTCTTTCTCCTAATGTTCATCCAAACGGGCAGCTAAAAGACAGCAAAAAAACGGCGCACCATAATGCTTGGTTAATGGTTGTATAAACTGAATTGCAACTGAATTGAAATCTTCCTTTTATTCCTCAATCCAAATGGGGTAATCATCAGACTGCAAATGAAACCGGCGCACAACAGTGTAAAAAGTGAAACTGTTGAAGCTTTCTAGAGTAGAATGAAGGCACCTGTTGAAGTATGGGTTTGTCGACAAAATGATACGGGACATCTCGGACGAAGTTCAACATCACATGTGAATCAAATATTCAAATTATACATTCTTTACCGATACTTTTAGCATTTTGGAATACATTAAACAACTCTTACCCAGATGAACCATAATTTAATGTTTGTAACAGAAATAAATTGATACAGTCAATCTCCTGCTAGGTCGCACCCCTCGGAAATTCGAGGAACAGCGGCATAGCACAGTAAACAGTAGTAGATGCTAATAAGTAGCATAAAAATCGGTTGACAGTTTTGTGACAAAACAAACCGTATCGATGAAAAGTAGATTAATCCCGTTAGTTGTTTCCGATGTTTTTAATTATAAGCTGTTTATTTATAACGGAATTTGGATCTACTGTCCTGCTTAGCCTTTATGTAGCGAAGAAATTTAAATTTTTCAGGACGCCCTCAGATCAATATCGGTACATTACATGCGGTATTCAGCCCTTATTCTGTTCTGTGTCTAGTTATCCCGATACTACCTACCTTTCTTCAGGGGAACTTTTTCTGACCCAATTATCCCATATTAATTCAATATATTACTCCACTCCGTTCCAATATTAAGTTAACCACAGAATTGATTACAGGACGTCCACCCAAATACACAACTGTCTTAGCTATAATAATCACATCAGTGCTAACCCATTCAAAGAAAACGAAGGTGAACCCGTTCGAATACAGTGAGAAGGAAATAACATCTAAAATGAGTGAAATATATGTTACGGGGTATTCTCAGAAAATTGACTTCTTTCCCATACTCAAACTATTGTTCTAGTGAAAAAAATGTGTACCACTAGAGTCTGTAGACATCTATTCGTTCGTCCGCTATTGTTGTTACCAGTGTATGTTCAAACCGATTGGCGCATTCATCATGACCGTTGTTGGTCGAACTAAGTTGAACACGAGATCCCATAACTTGATTCGTAAACCATATCTTTTTCAATTTAAGATGTCCGAGTATCAATTTATGGATATTCCGATAACTCGATTACTCCATCGTTTCACATTATTTTGTATTTTTTGTGATGATTTTGTTGTCATGTTCAGCTCATCTGTGTGATGAAGGCACGCCTGCTGTACAGCCAAAGTTCACTGTCTGCTAAAGACTCGCGGTTGTAGACCAGGTGTGATTTCGCGCTCGGGTTAGGTGGGCAAGCGTCAGGTCTCTCATCGCAGTGACCTATCCGACCGATCGATAAATGAACCCGATCGGTCGTGTAAATTTCGGGCCGGCATAGGAGGAAGATAAGTTCTGAATCGGATGCTGCATCAGTGTTGGTAGAGAATCATCAAAGGGGAGAATCCGTTGTGGAACGATATGCCATGTGAGAAATTAGGAATGGAAAACGTTCTAGCGATGAGGACACTGGGCCAAGGTTGGGCTCGTCTAAGATATAGACACTATTTTTTTAGGCGAGTTCTCGCGCAAATTTTCCGGCAGACGCGAGACGGAGTTTACTTTAAAAAATTCACATTCTGTTCAGTTAACCTAAGGCAATAGACGCCGGCTTATGGGAATTACGGCAACTCTCAAGCAAATAGGGATTCATAAACCAAAAGAGCATCTCACAAACTGTCCTTAGACCCGGGCTACGATGACCTTTGGTAAGTGAACTGTCTAATTTCATCGATGCTTTAAACCTTTTACAATTCAAGTTGTCTCAATATCATATCAAGATGTCCAGGTATGATTTCAACTTGTCTAACCATTATTTCTAGATGTCTGTTCGTTATTTCAATTTGTCCGAGTATCACTTCAAGCTGTCGTGTTGACCTCACCGGTGCTGACAAGCCTCCCAGGAATGTCTGAATGACCACCATGCAGCACCGATTTCTCTACCTCCCGCTGAAGCGCGGGGGACGATTGTGAGACGGGCTTCGATCAGACACGCCTCAATTCCCATGACATGCATATCGGTCATTTATCTTGCTATTA